GAATATATATTGATTTTAAAGCATGATGTGGGGAAGGGGCCACGTTTGTATCTTTCCAGAAGGTGCTTCTAACCCCACCTGGGTGCCAGAGTGAGCGGTGCATCATGACCACGATCCTGGGTCATGATGCACCACGAACCTTCTTTTATTATTCTTCCTACTAATATAACAGGAAAATGGTATTATGATTCGGGCCTCCAGGCATTGCAGGAATTACATAATCAGCTGTCCCGGGAAAAGCGTGCTTTGAGACTTATTATTTTTGGTATTGTTACCCTAGTTACTATTATTGCATCTGCTATAACTGTTTCTCTTGCATTGACTCAAAGCACCCAGAATGCAAAGTTTGTCAATGAATTGGCTCAGAACACCTCAACTACATTTCATGATCAAGAAGATATAGACAAAAGGCTAGACACAAAGTTAAATGCTTTGGAAGCTGCAGTAATAGGACTAGGCAATCAATCAGAAAGTGTCAAGATTAGACAGCAGCTGCAATGCCATGCTGCTTTTACATATATTTGTGTGACTTCAGCCCACCATGGCAGTTCTCTATGGAATTGGAGTAAAATCAAGATGCACCTACAGGGAATATGACATCATAATAATATCAGTATAGACCTAGTACGGCTACACAAACATGTGCAAGCCATTCAGAATAGTCATGATGAAATTATATCTCCAGCAAAACTGGTAAAAGAATTGCTGGATGATTTAAAAGGATTTAATCTGTGGAAAATGTTAGAACACATCACCTGGTACCTAATAGGATTCCTTTGTGTACCACTAATTTTATCCTGCTTTCTTTTAGTCAGCAGCAAGCTCCCGCAATCTCAAGTCTGAAGGCTCCAATTAGAAGTCCATAAGCTACATTTAAAATATAAAGAAGGGGGAGATGTAGAGAGCGCCTGGGAAAGGCCCCTGAGCTGATTGTCGTCTGAATCCAGTAGTGCCTGACAGAGCCATGCCCTGGAAACATACCTTGCCAGAGGCAGTTGTGTTGTCAGACTGACCTTTAGCTCAGGTGCCAGGGAGCGGATTTCATTATTAAAATCCAGCCAGGCACCAGGAACAAACACAATTATCCGGGCCCACCCAGAAGTGACAATTACAAAGAAGCCACAAGAATGCACATATTTTATCTTAAACTTTAGTAAAACTTCCTGGTATCTTTCTGTATTGGCTCTGGGTCCCTGTCTCTCCATCAGAGGA